ATTATTCGCAAACTCCTTTAATTTATTTTCTATTTCCTGGCTAAAATTTTCATCACATGATTTTGGATTGCCTTGTTGCTGAATGTGTTTTTTAATTTTATCTTCATCTTGTAAAATTGGTGGAATTTCCTGGTCAACTTCTTTTTTTTTAAAATTTTTAATTATATCCCAGTAGTGTTTTGGTTTTTTATTTAATGTATCTGAAAGGTTATCAAAAATTTTCTTCTTATATTCTGCTTTCTTTATTTTAGTCATTTTTCTTAGTTTTTTTTATCATTTCAAAGTATTTGTTTTTCAAATGATTACTAGGACATTTTTTAATTTTATTTCCAATACTGTTTATTTCTTTTTTTTGGTTTCATAAATTGAATTATCTGACCAAACTTGTTTAAACTTTTTCTTTTTTCTTTTTATTCCGTTTTTTATTTATTTAACATGAAATTTCTGAGATTTTTTCAAATATTTGTGTTAACTTTTTTTCTGCTCCATCAACACCTTTTTGACATTAATCTGTTTTCTGATGAAGTGCCATTTACAATATTTTGTATGCCTTTTTCTAACTCTTTTCTATAATAAACAATTATTTATTAATATATAAAAGAAGTAAAAGCGTTTTTGATACACAAATTCAAATTTGAGTGACTGTGGCAAATTCAAATGATTTGTGATCTGACATCCGTACTGTAAAATTAGGGAAACTGTTTTTGTGTGTGTCAGTTTTCAAACTAAAATATTAATAAAGACAGAGTAATTATCCAGTTGAGATTAAACAAAAGAAACTGAACTCTTTATTAGAGAAGGTACAAATGACCAAGTTCGCATATTTGATTTCTTTTTAAATCTGTTTCTATGACCTTTAAAAGTGTAATGTAGGTGCATAATTTAGGATTTTTTGCACCTTATATACATGTTTATACTTAAAATATAGTATGAAGCTTCGAGATATTTGCAAACTTTAAAATTAAAGACAAGTTTTCACATAACAGTAGAATATGGTAGGTGCAAAAACATGTGGACAGTTGTATGTATAAGCATAAATTCCTCCAAAAAAAAGTCCGCCGGAAGATACTAGATTGATCTATTTAAAACATTCATTTGCATCTCTGGCTCCGGCAACAGTTTTTTTTTAGAAAAATTCTACAAATGGACAATAATTTTATTGAAAAGAGGATGTCGCGTACAACTTGTTTTTTGGGCGTGTTTGAGTTGATGGTTTTGTCTTGAAAACGCATAAAGCAAAAGCATTTGATACATTATTTCGCTTCAGATTCTATTATTATTTTTATATATTTAGGCTACATTGGTGGTATACCAACATTAAATATTCACAATATTAAAAAAAGACGAAATATATGGATCAAGTGAGATACCTTTCAAATTATGAATATAATGAGTCTTAACAACATAGAAGGTGTGTTTGAATAACAATTTTTTACTAAAAACACTTGACGACAGACTGTAATTGTGCATCTTTTTGTACATAACTTAAATAAAATTCCTTTTCCCTTTCAGGATAAGTAGTCGTCAACCTCTGAATTTTTTTCAGTCTGCCCTTTCATGAAGTACTTCAATAGAATTTTTTTAGAGTTTTTGGTTTGTTTGAAAATCCACAAATACAACCAATCAAACTATATTTTCAAGTTGACAAAAGGGTTTTTCTCATTGTTGAAGGCCGTACGGTGACCTATAGTTGTTACTTTTTGTGTCGTTTGGTCTCTTGTGGAGAGTTGACTCATTGGCATTCATACCACATCTTCTTATTCTTATATAAACGTACTTTAAATGATACTTTATAGATGGATTAATTTGTCTTTTAAAAGACAATTGTCATAGAGAGATCATGATGATGCAATGCGGAAGAATTTATCGATTTTCAAGTGATAAACTGACAGCGCGTAATCCCTACAATGGCTTCCATTTTCACGATTGAAAAAAATAGGGGGGCATAATAGAATGTATTAGGGAGATAATTTTGACAAAGTAGATTCCTAAGTGTCTTGATCATCATGGAAAACATTTGGAAGATAAAATGGTTTAAGAATGTTCCTCTCATTTAGTGGAATTGTATATAAGAATTGTGATGTTGATCATTCAACCAAAATGAATGACAACTGTCTGGACTTTAGGTCCCCCCTTTGTTAATTGTATTCTTGGTGATTTTCCGTTTCCTTTTTTAATTTTTCTGAAACTAATTCTTTTAGTTATATTTTGAAACAATACTAGGTTATTTCTTAGATATTTTGTTAATGAAATTCTTGATATAAATAGGTTATTCAACCAGCTTACCTTTTTGTTTTTGTTTTTTTTATCTTTTATAGAGTATAAACATCATATTACGTGTACCTATAGTCGATATAAATATACATCACTTAATGAATATCTAGAATTAAAGCATGCAAAAGAATCACAGTGTGCAGTCGGTGTTGATAAAAACAGTAAATGTATCAGCTTATCTTATTACACCCATAATCTTAATAATACCTGCACAAGCATAATTCGATTTGGGATAGTTCACAAATTTTCACATTTTAACTATACATTTCGTACAATGGAATCGTCTCATAAAAATATGCAATGAGGTATACTATTAGAATGAGTTTGATAAGCTTACTACTTTTTGCAGTAACTGAATTACAAAAAAGAGATACCAATGTCTAATGAAAAACAGACGTTGAAAAGATATTAAAGATATTAACACAGATAGAAAACCTGAAAAGACTAACAATAGTACTAGCCCACTATGTGTACAGAGATAGCTAAAATTACGAAAATAGACTTTATTTATTTCCGTGTTTTCATATTCATTATAAAAAGGAGTTTCCACGTTGGAAACAGCTGTGATGCTCACATTTACAAATACATTGTTAGTACAGTCCATACAATAAACATATTACTGTTACGTGCCACTTAAGGATGTTCACTCCTCTATTTCAAAATAACAAGGTTTTTAAAAGACTGTTATAGATTGATAGAATATGAATAAGGGAACTTAAAAATTAGAAAAAAATGATAGGTCTGTGTTCTAGTTTTTGAGATATAATCAGTAGAAAATTTGGCGGGAAATAGTTCTCTCTAGACTTTTCATACATTTAACACTGACACCTATTTCCTTTCAAAAACTATGAAAAAATAACAAGGATTTTATAAAATTTTCAAAAATGACTTTTAAAACTATATGCAATAAAATTATGAAAAGAAAAGTATGGGTCAGTGGGCAAAATGTTGATTGGCACTACATGGATAAAACTAGAGGATTCCGAATATCTGACAAAAAGTCAAAAACATGAGTAGCTTCTCTCTTTCAAAATAACAAGCTTTTTAAAAGACTGTAATACATTGATAGTATATGAATAAAGGAAATTAAAGAGCAGAAAAACTGACAGGTCCGTGTCCTTGTTTTTGAGATATAACTTCAATTGAAAATTTGGCGGGAAACGGTTCACTCTAGATTTTTCTCACATTTGACATTAGCACCGTTTTTGTCTCAAAAACTATGAAAAAATTATAGGGATTTTATAAGATTTTCATTTTTAACTATATGTAATAACATTATGAGAAGAAAAATGGGGATAGCGGGCAAAATTTTTAATGGCACTTCATGAATAAACTAGAGGATTCCGAATATCTGACAAAGAAAAGTATGGGTCAGTGGGCAAAATGTTGATTGGCACTACATGGATAAAACTAGAGGATTCCGAATATCTGACAAAAAGTCAAAAACATGAGTAGCTTCTCTCTTTCAAAATAACAAGCTTTTTAAAAGACTGTAATACATTGATAGTATATGAATAAAGGAAATTAAAGAGCAGAAAAACTGACAGGTCCGTGTCCTTGTTTTTGAGATATAACTTCAATTGAAAATTTGGCGGGAAACGGTTCACTCTAGATTTTTCTCACATTTGACATTAGCACCGTTTTTGTCTCAAAAACTATGAAAAAATTATAGGGATTTTATAAGATTTTCATTTTTAACTATATGTAATAACATTATGAGAAGAAAAATGGGGATAGCGGGCAAAATTTTTAATGGCACTTCATGAATAAACTAGAGGATTCCGAATATCTGACAAAAAGCAAGAAACAGGTATAGAGAACATCTTTAAAACTTGAAGTCAAATAGTGGGATGATCATATTCGTACTGAAATAGTGATAGAATCTATAGCAACCGTTATTTAAAATCATTTATAGATTTTTAAAATTCAGAAGCCTTATCAAAAAATAGTTCAATGTATTTCAAAATGTATGTCGTCAATAAAGACACTGCAGTTATTCGTACATAAATTACGTTATACTCATTTCTCTAATTCTTCGTCAATTTATCCCTTTCTGCACCCATTGTATAAAAATAATTTAATCAACGTGTGGTTCGTTTGATCTCAGTTCTTCATTGGTTAAAATCCGATTATGACGTCGAATTTTCTTGCTTTCCTCTGAATTTCCTATTGTGACGGCATGAAAAAAGGCGACCATGCCTGATGACGTCACATAGAATGAACACATCATTTTGCAGATCTATCGAAAAGAAGGAATAAATTTGCCTGCGTATTGTTTGAAAATCATTAGAGAAACAGATTCCACCACCAAATCTCGTGTAATATGATATTTATCCACTCTCGACAGTTAAATTTTAAATATATAAAACGCTCGGCGAGCCTCGCGTTTTAAATTTGAAAATTTAACTGTCTCGAGCGGATAAATATCGTATCACACTCGATGCAGTGGTAGAATCTATATATATACAATCACAGTACTCCAACGTTTTCTTCCTTTACCTGAGTAGGGTACACAAAAAGGCAACCTGATAAGGAAAATGAAATACTTCTATTACATGTATACCTTGACAGAATAGTCGGATGGATCAATAGGTGACTGATGATATGATGGTTAACTATGCAGCTTTTGGTAATAACGTCTAATTACAAAATACAAGATTTGAAGTTCTTGTTTGATGGTAGACACATCAGCAGTATAATTATTCAACTTTTGAATTAAATTTCAGACAAAACATTTACTGCTGACATCAATCAAAATATTGCTTTATCCTGGACGACCAGTTTAACCGATTTTTTCAATGTCCGGCCGCCCAGAAGTTCGGACGTTATATATCAAGTACAAGGCGGCTCTATCATATCTAATTTTGAAGACAGGAAATACATATTTGACAAAATGACACAGGATGTGAAAGCCATAAACATTACAGTTATCCGTGTGAATATGACTGATGCTGGGCTGTACAGCGCAGAAACAGGTGGTAATGTGGACGGGTGCTGTTTGTTAATTGTAACAAGTATGATATAAGCATTATTATATTCAATATATGTTAAATTCCTTTCATCAAAATGTGTATTTCGGTTTCAATTTTGAGACAACTAATTGCTACCATAATCAAATGAATGTAATGTTCTTAAAAAAATCAGCTATCTTAATGAAAGTATCATTAAGTTCTATATAAATGATAACCTGCAATGAAAATAACAATTTAAAGATTTCGTGCGTCCGAAGTGCTTTTCGAGTGTTACCTTCATCCAACACATTTGAAAGCCCGGTGTATACATACGCAAATATTTTGGAGCCATATGACCAAAAGAAACAAAAATTTATTGACTAATTCATCTAAGGTAAACCTTGCCTGGGGAGAAGCAATTGTGTTTTCTTAATTTGTTAACGGGGAATTTTACAATGATACACTTTTAGGTTCAAAATCATGACGGTATCATATTTTAGTTTGTTTTATACACTCCATAAGTAATAAATATCTCATATCCTGTCCGTTTGTATATTGGTTGTCTGTTTATGAACCTTTCTGAATAAGTACCAACACATGCAAAATATATGCAAATTCAATTCAGAACGTGATAAAAATATTTGAAAACTTTAGCTATTTATTTAAGAAGCAAAAGTTGCTCCGCAAAAACATAACTACAGTTTGTTATGTGCGCGGAATAGTAAATTTATATTATTATTTTATCACTTTTTCATTCTACTCTAAAAATTAAAAAAATTATCCTGTAAGTACAAGAATTGTATTGTTACTTGGAATCGTTGAATTGAAATGATTAATGATAAAAATTATAGGACAAATGAATTAGAAAAAGAACGAAAAAAATAGTATTATAACCAAGAATTTTGCATTATTATGTAGTCATCAACACTTGTTCATGAAGGTATATATTAAATTGTGTTTTAGTTCACAATTGAAGTTTTTCTTGAATAATTAAAATGGAACATTCCCATGATTCCGAGAAAAGCCCTTAATCTAATTTTTGTTGATGTAGTATTTTCTTTAAAATTCAGCATTTATTATCTTTGAACAGTATGTATGTATTTTTATAATTTTTTTTTTAATTTTGCACATATTTTATTAATTATCACATGTTACATCAACCCTAAGTTGTCCAGGGAAGCAAATGAGGGCCCCGCATTATAACAGTCTCATTTGTCGGGCAAAATGCAAAATTTAATGAGGAAAAAAAATCCGATTATAAATAAATTACCATCTGTCCATATAATTACATCACACCATATATACCCATATGAACAAAGTAATCATTCTCTCTGTATATTTTACCCACAAGAGCAACCTGCATATATTAAGCATTTTCGATTCTACATCACTTCATTCCGTTCTTTTGTAATGCTAATTTCTATATCATTCCGGTCGAAGAATCTTTTGCCTCGTGCTACTCGTTAAAAAATAATTGAAAGGAAATGTGTAACTCATTCATAAAAAGTAGGATTTATAATTTTGTTTTCCAAAAAGGAGTTATTTCGGAGATATGGTGAGTAAATATTTGCTTATAGTATGTACCTGTTGATACAACATATCTTTGTTACAAGTATATAATAGATATAGTTTAAAGAAGTCTAAATTGAAAACAACGTTCAAACCTATGATTGCGTTGGATAAAAACAGCAATTTTTATACGTGTTCATGCAAAACAAATTTCTTGGTAGAGGGGTCTAAATACAGCACAAACAACATTTTCCAAAAGACCGATAATGTGAAAAAGTATATTTTAACAAAACGGTTTTGACTAACAGGCCAGACAACGGATGTTCTTAAACCCTGCTGACTGCCATGGCGATTGCTTAATAAACGGATAACAAGATGTAACAAAATGGATCTTAATTATTAATTTAATACCAAACAGAAAACAATAAACATGCGAAAAAGTTGGTATACCGCAAACATGAGGTGCAACAAATGGTTCACCATGTCCGGATTTCGACAATTAATGTCACTTCAGTGATGTTAGGAATCGAAACGGTATTTGGAAGGCCATATAATTTACCTCAATTTAGGATAGACTCTTGAATTTTGAAGAGTCGAAATAGGATGAACGGATCATATAAACCCGGAGGCAAATATAATAAAAGCCCAAACGAAAAATATAAACAAGTCTAAATTGAAAACAAGGTTCAAACCTATGATTACGTTGGATAAAAACTGCATTTTTTATACGTGTGCATGCAAAACAAATTTCTTGGAAGAGGGGACTAAATACAGCACAAACAACATTTTCCAAAAGACCAAAACAGTGAAAAAGGTATATTTTAACAAAACGCATTTGACTAGATATAGTTTATATACATGCATAGAAAATGCATAGTACATAGGGAGTGTTGATTGCAATGTATATGATAACTTATTTAATATTGAAATGGTCATTTCACTACCCTGACCACGCAAAAATATAATGTAATCTACAAAAATTCTCACACATAGTACATGTATGTAGTTGATTTTTCTTTTTAAATCGATGTAGAAGTAATAAATCCCCTACATTTATCTTGTAGATATGGTTTTAATGCATATATGTCTTTTCTTGCACTTAGATCCAATATATATTTTGGTTTAATGAAGAAAGGAATTAGTTCACTGAGTAAAATGAACATTTTTTTTTATTTAAAGGGATGTGTCATATAAACTCATATGTATGCAAAAAGCAAAAAAAAAAAAAAAAAAAAATTAACATAAATAGGCTAGGGCCATTGCAATATCTATCCAATACGAGGAAATGCATTAACAGAAGCCATGCGTGTTTATTGAATCAGCATTTAAATTTGCCAATTCTAAAAAATAATAAAAAAGATACAATTGATTTTTGATTAGTCTTATTCATTTCGGACCTATATACTATGACACATATTTCAATATGACTTTTGATTTACTTGTGAAATACATTTGGCATAGAACAAATAATTATGAAAAGTATCAAGTGTATATATCCAGTAGAAGTTCATTACAGTGAAAGTCAATGTAATAGAATGGAAAACCTTTTTAGAAAATAGTTAGAATATTTTACAACATAAAATTACTACACAATACTTTATATATGAATAGATATTTCAGTAGAAATGTTCTTCCATAAACATTTTAGCAAAACCAATTAAACCAACAGTAACCATTCAACCTGAGCATCCATTTGTCGGTGATAACATTATCTTTACCTGTAATTCAATGGTTCAACGTTGGCCTGGAAATTTACCTTCACACCTGTCATATCAATTTATTGGGAATACAAGAGGAGAATCCAACAACAACAGATTAACAATGAACACAATTACGAAGATGGATAAAGGAACGATTATATCATGCCAGGCAACTGATGATCTTGGAAAAACATCGATCATGAGTAATACTGTTACATTAGACCCGTACTGTAAGTTTGATAAAATATGAGTTTTAATAACAGCTTCGGTGTGCTTCATTAGTAATTTGCAAGTGTCTTTAGTGAGTTACCGATATGGTTTATATTGGAGTGGCATATGTTATGGTAGTTTTAAAAATACACAACTGATAACAATAAAACCCCTGTCATGGTTTTATTGTTTAGTACAGGTATATATAATGTATTGATTTAACTGAGATCGCCTCTTGGTTTTGGTTGGATTCGTGTTGCTCAGTCTTTGGTTTTCTATGTTGTTTGTCCGTTTGTCTTTTTCCTTTTTAGCCATGGCGTTGCAATTTATTTTCGATTTTTGAGTTTGAATGTCCCTTTGGTATCCTTCGCCTCTCTTTTATAACAGTTTTTAAAAGGGTTTTTATAGCTTACTTTGCTGTATGGGTTTTGTGTATTGTTGGGGTGCTTTTCGTGACCTATACTTTACGTCATGTGGTCTCTGCTGGCGAGTTGTCTCATTAGCAATCATGACAAATCTTCTTATTTTCATATTCTAAAAAGCTTGTTATTTAGAAACAGAACAGAGAACATCTTTAAACCAGTTAAAGAGCACCAGAAATTACTGTCGGTATTGGCTACGTTTCTGTCACTCCCTCTGTCACTCACGCGGTAGTTCTCTTTTTTTTAAACGAGGCGGAAGATACTAAGGGGACATCCAAAACTAATAAGCTGAGAAAAACTGACAACGCTATGAAAAAGTTTTTTGTCTATGAATTGAATATCGTGTGTTTCTGTTTTTGCTTTAATATGTTCGTGATGTCGTCTGTTCTTATGCCTTATGGTCAACTTCTTTAAAGCATCTTTTATGATTTTTGCACTAATTGAAGTTGTTTTATTTTAATAATTTGTTACTAGAAATTTATATATTTGTTTTCTAATTTTGTAGATGGTCCTGAAAATGTTGTAGTGGAACCTGCAATCGCAAATATAAATGTTACAGAAGGAACTGCATTAGGCCCTATATATTGTATTGCAACCTGCATTCCTGGGTGTAAATATAAATGGAAACAAAGCTGGACAGGTAAATTCAAACCTGTTTCAAGCAAATACATTTCAACCCAAAACCGTAGTGTAAAGGTTTCAGCCATAAAGAGGAGTCAAACCGGAACCTACCGTTGCCGGGTAGATCATTCTACAGGTTACAAATACAAGACAAAAGATATATCAGTGAATGTACAGTGTAAGTATGAACGACCAATATGTAAGTTATAAGACGCTTTAAACATTGTTATTTGTGAAGTGTCAAAACTTGGTATGTTCATCTTTACTTTTAAATCAACCTCGTTGTTTAAACATTGATTTTGAGGGGAAAAGTTGATACAAGTTTACATTATATTTGGTAATTTACTGTAAAATATTCCATGCATCCAGAAATTCACCGTGCACGTAAGCAGTCAGGGATTTCCGAATTTGAACGTTGGTATAGCAAAGAGTTTATTTGAAATGATCTACTTATGCCTGATGTACACAATTTTTCAGCTAAACATTATATACAAGTACAATACAATTAACAAAAAGAAAATAACCTGTCTGTATTTGTATATTTAGAGTTAGCTTTGTAAATATATGTCATCTAATATACCTTTAAATGTTTCAAAAGAAGAATAAATTACATGTTAAAATGTTTGAATTAGCTACAATGATACTTCATCAAATTATTTGCCTGGTCATCAACATATATACATGCAATTAATAGATAGTTATGTAGCGTGAAACTATATCAAGAAAAATATTCACAATTTATGACTTATGACTGGTACTCAGTTAGAAAATGGTACACTTTGATCGTTACTAATAAAATGTAAATCTTTCAAATCGATCCTATAAACATTAGCATGGCGTTGATCATTATCATTGACGCTACGGATCACAACTTATTTGGAATTGTCGATTGCAACCATTTGTACAATAGATAAAAGTTAAACAAATTATTTCATAGTCAATATTTCACCAGATTTACTTCATTTTAAACAGAAATTATAAGCTAATTCGTCACACAACCTGTCAAGATAGAATATTAACATTGCTAATTAACTTGAACCGTGTATTTCTATTTGTATCCATCTGATGAGTTAAGCCTTTTTCAACTGATTTTTATAGTTTGTTCTTTTGTTGTACTGTTAAACCACTTTCCCAGGTTATGGGAGGGTTGAGCGCTCACAAACATGTTCAACCCCGCCACATTCTGTATGTTGTATCATATTTTTCATGTCGGGGCCTTTAATAGCCGACCATACGGTATGTTTTTTTTCTCATTGTTGAAGACTGCACGGTTGCCTATAATTGCTTACTACAACTTCAATTGAACTTTGGTAGATAATCGTCTCATTGGCAATCAAACCACATCTCCTTATTTTTATAAGCAAAGAATGAAGTTAGGATTTAATTGATTTGGATTTGTTGTAAATAAATTACCTTCTACAAATAGGGATCAAGTAGTTGATGGTGATATGATAATACAATTTTGATTTTATTTCATGTTACGTATATCAAAGAAAAAAAATCCATATCCTGATTTAGAAGAAATTTAATAGATGAGCATATCAATTTTGGCAAGATTGAAAGTATACTTGAATAGAACATTAGGCGAATTTTAATTTCTTACCTGTTAGAAAATTGCATCGAATAATTAAACCCGTAACCACCTCTTTCTGAAGAGATGTTCGACGTATGTGTAGTTCAAGAAAAAACCCCACAAAATTTCAAATAAGCATAGGTGACTTTTCATCGAAAAAATAGTTTTTTGGTGGATTATTTTCAAGTTGGTAATTTAAACTATTCCAACTGTATACGTACTAGTTTCCCTGCTTACAACCTTATAATATGACCGATTTAGCCAGGTTGTTGTCTTTGCATTAATTCTAAACACAAACATACTTGATAATTTAAAATGTGTGACGTGGAGACAGAAACGAGTCTTCTTTTTCCTATTTATTATTTTATTCTGTTAGATATGAATTACTGAAGGGATAATTGATCATCATTGGAAGAATCGTTCTTAGTGAATATGATGAAAACAATCGTGTGCAATAAAGGAATGCATAGTTGATTAATTGATCAACTGTAATATCATCTGGCGCCGAACAAATGTGGTAGTGCTTCTACAAAGGCTAAAACAAATAAATTTCTACGTGTGCATGTAATTTGAGCATTCGTCGATACGCTCGAGGTAAGCAGTTCCAAAATCAAAATGTTAAAAGCTTTTAACAGAATCAAACCAAAATCAGATGGTCAACTTCGCTGAGGGAGTTTCGGCTTTAGTGTAAGTAAAGTCAGATTATTTATTACGTAGAATTTACAAAGAAATCAATTATTTCAATCATGTCAGTAGCAAGGTGAAATATAATTCATTATTATTTTGAAGTATTGTATAATCTATTCCAGATTCTCCGAAAATAACTGCTATCTGGTTTAGTTCTAACAATCAGAGATATGGAGTACGTACTCCTACAACATTTAATTTCAATGAAAAAGTAAATGTGAAAACGACACTGCGTGTGGAAAGTAATCCTGATCCGCAAATAATGTTTAAATCTTCCTTGTTGAAAATTCAACAAATCAATAAAGGGAATGGGTATATTGATTTCACATCTAACCTACCTTCTCTTAAATGTGAAGATTCCGGAAACTTTTCAATACAGGCTAGTAATAGGATACCATATGCAGATACCAGAATGGTCAACTTTAAAATAAGTTGTAAGTAAAGTTATAAGAGAATCGTCATCACAAACATATAAATTTGAATGACATTATTCATAATGTAACAATTTGATTATATTACAAGTTTTGTAAAAGAAAGACATGATATTACTGACAGTGTAAATTTGCAAATTATTGCGATGTTTTTATTTTTGCAAAAAATGCGACAGGGTTGTTATTGCTATAGTTTAAACTCGCATTTTGGATTTTTTTTTGTATTAATGAAGCGGAATTTTCTCAAAATCGCAAAAATTGCTTTTTGGACTAAATGAAAAAATCGCAACAATAAAGAATTTACTGTATATTACACATTATCATTTACAAGTAACATAAGAGTAAACGGAATAAAAAAAAAGACAAATGGAACATACAAGCCATAATAATTCATAATGAGAATTCGGAAGATAAAAGTGTACGGAGACAACTGAGTTGCAAACGTGAACGTTGCAAAGCTATGGGACAATACATTTATATATTTTTATATACAAAGGATGATAAGAATTGTCAACGTTATTGGACAATATAGTAAACCACACCAACACATCCAAATAAGTATACGCGCAATTTAAGACAACTAAGAACGAACAAATCATGATCCATGGTGATGTTGAGCCTGTTTAATTCTGCACAAAAATCTCACTTGGCCTATCTAGACCATGCGTTTTAAAGTAAAATCCCAGACCAATAACTACCCCTAGTGAAGGAACTAAAACTGTGATTACTTACGTTTTCTGTGTCTAAATGTTCTTTTTTAGTGAAATAAATTGAGCTGATTGAACCTTTTATGTCTTAACATAAAAACAGTCAGGAGCCTCTGGCCTTTGTTAGTCTTGTATCATTTTTAATTTTAGTTTCTAGTGTATAATTTGGAGTTTAGTATGACGTCCATTATCACTGAACTAGTTTACATATTTGTTTAGGGGCCAGCTAAAGGACGCCTCCGGGTGCGGGAGTTTCTCGCTGCATTGAAGACCCATTGGTGGCCTTCGACTGTTGTCTGCTCTATGGTCGGGTTGTTGTCTCTTTGACACATTCCCCATTTCCATTCTCAATTGTAGTTAAGATTATATAAATTTCAAACGTTTTGCTTGCTGTACATTTTAAAGTGCTTACAATAGGTATTTTGTATGTAGTCAATACAGATTATTTAGCCCCTTTACAAGGATAATTTATCATGAAAAGCTAATTCATACTGTTTAGATCTAGACTATAAAAATGAAAAATGAACAGTGGCGCAACCCTTCGCCCACACATATTTGTGCATAAATATTCATATATTTCCATATTCTTTATTTCTCAACAACAATTTCAATGGGCGAGGGGTGGCGCGATATACAAAATCATGTAAAAAAGATGGAAAAGTTTTAAATTTTTAGGAAAATGGCCGACGAGAAAAACTGTTCCTATCTTTGGCTAATAACTTTATACATTGGATGCAGATATACATTTTTTTTTATCATACGTTCAAATATCATACATTTAGGAATACATTCACATTACATGCATTAGATTAACTTAAATAATTGAAATTAACAAAAATCCTTTACAGGGCCATATATTTGGGTTACTTGCTCTTCTCTTTTATATAACTTAATCTACCTCCCTTATACATATATATTTATCCTGATAAAGTAAACACAGACTACCGTTAAAGATATAAATGTCTTATCCCTTTATTACAATGTCAAAGAAAAAAAATTATATTTGTTAAAAGCGTTTCAGTGATGAAACGTTTGGTTGCGAATCTCTTGTTCCAACAGCATAAAAAGAGTACATTGTCTTTACTCTAATTAAAAGCACTAGCAAAACCGGCGACAAATCAGATTAAAATCGCTTATATCACAGTTATCAATATATTTTAATATGGTGTAATACATTAAAATCATACTTAAGAAATATACTTGGCATAAAAAGTAGATAGATGGAACGAAAAGACACGATATATAGTCTTACTGATTTCAGGACTTTGAAAAATGAAGTTGCTAATGTAATTTATTATTTTGAGAGAAAATGTATCGCTAAGTCATTGTATTTACAACTAAAAAACTTGTTTCAGGTAAACCTAGGAACGCCACACCAGAATCAAGAACAATAGGTGCAAAAATTAATACAGTAAAACATATAGTATTGCATGTTACATCATTCCCGGCACCAACTGTAACGTGGGTACGTCGGAGTAGCTTCACTTGGAAGATTCAGAAAGATAGATACGATTACAGACATAAAATTCATTCCAAAATATGTATCAGATCTGAAGTAGACTTTGGTGTGTATGGTTTCAACATATGTAACCGATTAGGATGTATTGTGGAAAATATTACTCTGAAACCGCAAGGTAATTGTATATTTATGTATCAGTTCAGTTACTTTTTGATAAGATACACACATGTAACGGAAATCAGACCATAGTTAACTCGCATCCAAATACAGAGAATTCAGAATCTTACTTACGATTGCTATTCATTACATATCATGCAGCAGTGGTTTACGGATATTCCAATCCCCAAAATCTGTTTAAAAGATAAAAATTAAGGTAACAATCAACAGTTGAGGGACTCTCATGAACTGTTGATTACTTGATGTCTAGTGGCAAGTGATATGTCGATCCGTCGATGAAAACGAAAAGTATTACTACTATTATAGTACAACAAAACGTTAATAATAATTATCTTGGTCATACATGTACCTCCTCATCAATTAAACTCTACATTTTTAGATCATTTAAAGGTTTATTGTATAAGTTTTTAAAAGTTATCAAACTATATCATAGAACAAAATGGTACCAATGCCTTCATTCACTTTAGAAAAAAAAACATATTTAGAAAGAGATAGGTTTCTGTGTCAACATTCGATAATGTTAGGTAAAAGCTACAAAGCTTATTGTAGTGATGACATATCTAAGAACAAATTTGCCCAAGGATGTCTGAAAATACATATAATCATTTCTTATAATTTTGCATTCTAGTGCATTGCATCACATTCATACAGTTTACCTGAACTATTTTCAGTTCATTTGAAGGTTGTGAAATTAACTTTCCTTATTGCGAAATACTTGTCAGTGGTTACAAAAAATTTTAATATCCATTAAAATGAAATCCACAAAATCATCCCGGTTTTTGGTGGAGTTCGTGTTGTTTAGTCTGCATCTTGCTAAGTAGTGTTTAGTGTACTGTTATTTTTCGCTTTTTGTCATGGGATTGTTAATTTGATTTCGAGTTTGAATATATCTTTGGTATATTTTGCCTCTTCTTTAAGTGATTACACTATATCATATTCTTCCTTTTATATGTAACAATTTATTTTTTTTCTGCTTGCAAAGCTTTAAACACATCAGATCCATAACACGGGTAGAAGTATAAGTTTAAAGACATGTCACTTTGTTATTATTTACACACGTAGAGGCTCAACATAATATGCAGTCAAAATGTCGCGAACACTTCCCTAAAAACTATAAATTTAGAAAAATGAACGTAACCAAAAGCATAGTGAAATCATGTGCTCCGGAAAAGTAAAAAGGACTTACTCCATTAAAGACGCCCGTCGTGTTTTTCGTGATTTCATAAACGATAAATGATATATTAATCAGTCGTAAATACTTCAGACATAATCATCATAAAAGCCATAATTACATATGTTGGTGGTAAAACATGGTGATTAATATACATTATTCATATAAATATATCATAAGTCCTGATTATGGAACTTGCTTTTATGATTAGAATTGACACAATGCACGTAGATCTATTCTATTCAAGTTGCAGTCTTATTTCAATGTATAGTAATATGTCAAAAGTGTTGGTTTTGTGAATTTGTATATTATAAACATGATAAATAAACACAGTTGTTTTATGTTTACCAAAGACAAATCCAGAGGTAAAACTCGAATAATATTTAATTTCAGATAAGCCAGAAGCACCGCAAAATTTCTCTGTCGAAACAACAACATTTCGATCAGTGAATATATCCTGGATTGCTGGATTCAATGGCGGACACGAGCAAACCTTTTCAGTCCAGTATAAAGCTACAGATAATGTCAAATGGGACACGAAGACTGTACATACTAATGACATAAAAACGGGGAGTACGGTATACTACACATTGGATCAGCTTAGACCAGACACGTCATATCAAGTAATTGTTGTGTCAAAGAACATACAAGGACAAAGGAATGCGTCACTTGAATTTAAAACAAAAGGTAATCTCACCAACAAGATTAATAATTTTTATTTTCCTTAGGTTTCATGTTTCTTTGTGCGGTGTTTTACATTTTCTTTTATGATTTGTCTAGTATCATTTTGATATTCGATACTCGGTACTACCAAGCAATACTCGAATATTCGAGTACTCGATGACATCCATACTGTAAACTTCTGAAATAAAAAGTTTCAAAATCAAACAGTTTATTTAAAAAAAACACATGCTCCGTACATAAGATGAACAGTCAGTGACTAGTCAAATAACATCAAGTCATTCAAAACACGTTTTATTTAGTACACACGATACGCTTTAAAATACTCTCAATGAGATTTATTTTATTCTGTTTTTAAATTCAATAAGAAAACGGCAATATTTGAACACATTTAATTTTGTGGTTTTTGTCAATTACGATAAAAAATAATGATAAAACTCAGATAATTTTAGCTAGAAGCTTTTCCCTCTATAACAAACTTTACTGATACCTTTTTTAATAGATATAAAGTCTTGAAAACATCGTCCATTCATTAGTTAAAGTTGGCTTCTTATGAGCTTTCAGAAACTGAGAGTACTCTAAAATCGTTACTTTATTTCTATTGTATTTTTTCATAGCTATTATGTATTCTTATGGCTGAGCTGATGGGTCAAGCCCTCTTTACAGTTATTTTACTTGATCTACTTTTGCACAAATGTCCCAGATTCGGGGAGTGCGCACACAAACATTCAACCTGCAACATTCTGTATGTGTCTGTCCCACATCAGGAGCCTGTAATTCAGTCTATGTTGTTGGTTGCACCTGCTGTCTGACATATTTGTTTGTCGTTTGTACACATAAATGCGGCCTTTGGTCTATCTATTCAGTGTTTTGCAAGTTATAATGGTTTGACAATTAAAATCTTACTATCCAGTATGGGTTCTGTTCATCCTTGAAGTCCATTAAGTGACTATAAGTTTTCATTCTCGTTGTTTTTGTTGTTGTGTCAATGTTGGATAGTGTCTCGTTGGTTGGACATGCGCTTTACCTTATTTTTATATAATATAATTTACTAGTCTCAGCTAATACTGTTATCATGAGGTATAACATTGGAATAAAGTTTTGCTAGTAACAGTCTGTTTTGAAATATATGAAATTTAAAAAAAGAACGAACATATCAATTTCTGCTTCGGCATAACATTTATTTCATATTACTGTTCAAGTCCTGCTATTTGGCCATTACACAAATAAATATGCTGCAAACTCAGAATTAGATGCCACCACCTCAGATGACTTAATGAATATTCGGATAATGTTACTATTTGTGTAGGCCAATGTGTCAAGTAAATGATTTCATTTTTTGGAAATGTAAACTAAATCCGTTAGATGTCTACATATTGATACTTACTTGTGGCAGAACTTTTATTAGTTTATTTATACGTTGTAATATGCTTTAAAAAGCTTTCATTAACTGCTAGTTCTCTTAGATCAGTTCATTACTTCCACTGTTAATGTAGAAATCACAAACATGATTAACAACGTGCCCGTCTAAGTCAGGAGCCTATAATTCTGTGGTTGTTGTTAGATGTTGTTTGTCCAATTGGTTTTTATCTGTTGTTTTGTTGTTTGAATTGTTTTAACATTTTGTCATGTCTGGGACTTTTTTTGCTGACTATACAGTGTGGGTTTAGCTCATCGTTGAAGATCTATGGTGACTTATAGTTGCTCGAATCTATTTCATTTGGGCTTCGGTGGATAAATGTTTCGTTGGCAATAATACATTTTTGTACATATTTCCTTGTTTGTATATCGTAACGTTATGGGTTGAATGTTATGAATTGCAGCAAAACATTTTACAGCAGATACTCGTTTAATCGTGTTATCACAATGCTTATCAACAAGACATACATTCAGTTAAATATTTTATTATGACATTGATAGAATTTAAGAATAATCATGATTTATTCCCTTTTCCGTCTATATTTCAGTGGAACCTACTGTTAAATCTCCATTAAAAACAGCCTCCATGACTCCGGTATTAATTGGTTTTGGGTGTGGTATAGCAGTTATACTTATAATAGTAACTTCTCTATATGTGTTTTGCAGCAGAAGGAATAGAGGCAGCACAAGTGGTACGTCACTAAAATATAATATATTTAATTTATAAGTTATAGGAAATGTGATGCCAATCTTACCGTTACCAAAAAACCAGAAACAATTTCGAGGCAGCTACATATCTTCAAAAGTATAAAATGTCTGACAGTTTACAATATGTCAAGCTTTACACAGGGAAAAGACGTAATTCTATTGAGATTATAACCACCCGTAGGATATGTTTAAAGGACAATTACAAACCTGCTAGAAAAAAAACAACACACACACACTGACTTGTATGAGGAATATGCAATGTGGTAAAGTTTAATTAGTTTTTTAAGTATCATCCTCTTGTTTGAAAATTGATCAGTAAAAATAGAAAATATGCAATTGCAAAAAAAAAATCAGATAAGAAAAATGCTTGCTTCTATTTTGAGCTAACTTATATTCAAATGGCTGTTTACAACATCGTTCATGTTGTTGACCTATGGGTGGTCCGTGTCAAAGCAATGTTGATTACAATAAACACCTTGTATTTGTAAAACTTAACATTTGAGCATGAATTAGTCTGTGCAGGATAAAAGATTATATAAGTGTTGAGTAACATAAAATATATTTAAACTCTCCTAGAAACAAAATAAATGCTCGCGAAGCCTCGCTTTCCATCTTGTTTTAAGTTGGTAACAATTAGGGAACGACCATTTAATTTTCTGGGGGAGCCATGATGATTTTTTTGGGCGGAATATTCATTATATCTCTTTACTAAGTGGGGGTATATAGTGCGAGCGTCCGTCCAGACCAAATTGTCTAAACCAAGGAACGAATTGCAACGAAATTTTCATATAATCTTTATTACGTATTGTACTGTGCATCTTCTACTTCTCATTTTGATCGGAATGATTTCTTGGATTTTCCCTACACAAACATAGTTTTTGTCCTTTCATATTATAGAGAGTGAACATCCCTATCTTCAACTCCTCTTAGACTAGTAAAAGGATTGTAATCAAACTTTCACGGATTTTTCATGTAATTATATCATTGTGCACCTTCTATTTTACTTTTTGACCACAATGATTTCTAATGTTTTCCGTACACAAACATGAACTTTGCCCTCTCATAGTATTGTGGTTAACATCCCCCATCCACAACTCCTGCTAAACCAGTGAATTGATTACAATCAAACTTCCGCGGATTTGTTATAACATAATGGTATTATGTACCTCTTATTTTCTATATTTATCAGAATGATAGGGTTTCCGTTACCAATTCTATTGTTGTATTTTGGGGTAACCCATTTTATATTCCCACTCTTCCTAAACCGCTTAATGCAACTTATTCAAACATTCTCACAACCATAACCATATTATGCTATTGTTCATTTCCTCAATAAAATTAGGTATTTTTATGCGCGCTTAACTCACAGTACCTCTAGTTTTCATCTGTTGCTTTGTTTAGCATAATAAGTACAGGCGGCTACTTTATTTTCACCTTTGTGCACAATTAATTTCTCTTTTTTTGGGAAAAATATTAATGTGCTATCTGTATTGGGCATACATTTGTTTTCATTGATTACCAGGCCAGGTTAAATATTTTCAAAATCCTGTAACTGTACATTGCGAAAACAGCAAATGTACTTAATACACTAAAACCAAAATCTTCATTTCAACGGATGATATCTATTTCAACGCGGACAACTTAACACAGGTCTAAACAGAATAGCTTATATTATCTAAGATCAACTTCAAATTACCAGATGAAATTGCAAAGTTAACCTGATGGAACTCTTGTCTAACCTGTCAACCAACAATAATATCCTCCAGTTCCGTTCATTTACCACGTCTATGTGTTCTGGTCTCTTGTATGTTTATAATTTGATTATAGTAAAAAAAAATTATGAACATAAATTTCTTAAAATATTATTTTAGAATCAACAGAAAGCAATGTGTTGTATGCAGCAGTTGATAAGATACAACAGAAAATCAAACGGCGAAACCCGGGTAACTATCGAAGTGAAATAATGTAACTTCTATATTTTGAAATTTTTAAACAGCACTAGTATATTTCAGTTGTGCATACAATCCTTCTTATATACTTTATTGATATCGGTTGACTGTAGTTGTGCTGTAGGATCGTAGTGATTTATCTACATGGTTTTAGACGTGAACCTAAAATAATATAAGCATACATACCAAACCCAAATAGACAAATTGAGATACATTGATTGAAATCAAATCAAAATCCAGGTTAATGTTGAATACTTAGTCTAGTGATAGAACAATTAAAAATGTGTCCAACTACAGTAACTATTAAATACTTAAATTTGTTTTTTTAAACTAAATACATAAAATAACATGTAAAGATTTAGCAAATAAAGATTATGCTAACGATTTTGTTTTATTATTAGAACAACGAGAAAAAAAAAATATCAGATCATTTGGTCTTAATTAGATCTTCAGCTACATGTATCCGAGCATTTGTTGTTATATTTTTCATAAGGTACAGACGAATCTTTTTTTTTATCAATATGAAATTGTATTGCTAAAAATTTGAACTGGCAACGCTAATTTGAAATTCTACAGATTTGTTTTTAGTACATAATGAATATAAAGCAGATTAGAGTAAATGATGAAAAACCACAGCAACTAAATATGTATTACATTTTGGCGTGTAAAAGTTATTTCTAGAGATAGCCTTTTGTCTTCATCTATGAAATAGTAGATTCTACCTTTATACATTGCATAACTTTATGTTATTTAAAATGAGGAACATTGTATTTTTTATTATTTTTCCTCGTGTAGAAAACGAAAACCAGGATTCTAATGAACCTGCGAATGCCGAATATGCTTCTGTTGTTAAACCCAAATCCAAATCTAAAAAGGTACATTACAAAGGTAAGTCACTTTCATAAATATTTGTTTGGTTGCGTTGTTATTTATTTAGTTTTGAAACTGTTTTAATTCGAGCGTCACTGGTGAGTCATATGTAGAAGAAACGCGCGTCAGGCGTACACAATTTGGTATGTTTGACGAAGTTTTTTCCATAACTTTTCCTATATTCAGTCCTGTGGAAAGCGTATAATGTATTGTATACAATGGCTTTCTCTGATTGTCTTAATAATTTGTGTCTTATCTTAACATTATGGTAATATGGGCAAAGACTTAAGTTTTTAGGTCTTAGTTTATTAAATACCAGCATGAGAACATTGAATAGTTATTGTGAGTACAAAGGAGTTCCGGTAGGACCAGGCTGATGTAGTATTTTAAAGTCTTTTAAAGTATAATATCTTAAGTGTATATGATACAAATTTTTCGGAGATGTTTCAACTAATCATTTTATCAATTACATTTTGGATATAAAGTACATTGATCAATGACAAAACGAGGAATACTTGATATAATGAATATTTAATTAAATTTGTTTTCCAAAAAATATCAGTCAAAGATATTTCGTTTAATCAGGCTGAACAGGAAACAACTATCAATATCTTAAGTTTTAACATTGAATTGAAAAAAAGGAAAAAGCTCCAACCTTATCATTGATTCCTTGTCCGAAACACAACCCAAAACTAAATGAAAGGAAATCTAAGGTGTATCAATGAGCCAGCAACCTAACGACAAAGTATCATCAAGATTTCTAGAGGGCAACAAACATTTATCATCAGTAGATTGCTGTCTACACAATATGACAAGTCCTAAATCGTCTCAAGTCTACTAAAACTGTGAATGAATTTAGCAGAAACAATCAAATATCTGCCATCAACAGATAAGTTTCGAAATAGCAAAAAAATAAAGATATAACATAACACAACTACTGAATCAGATGAGATTCCTCACTTGTGACAGGAATATAAATATGTGCCGGAATAATCTAATTTTATATCAAACCCCCTTTTAAATCTTTGTCAATTGGAAAACAATCAAATATAAATAAAAACTATATGGTTTGGATTCAGAATTGGGTACATTCGTCTTTAATTGTACCTCGTTTATTGTGATAAATTTGTAGTGAATCCCTTTTACCAATTTTGAATGGCTCCTTTCATTCCTTTTTTACTTTATCCTTGTTTTATATTAAGATAACCTTGTGCAAATTAGATAATTATATTTACATTTTTTTAAATAATATAAATGTACATAGAAATGCATACAATATAAAAATAAGGCGATTTGGTATGATGCTATAATGAAACAAATATCTTTAAGCTGTAAGACCAAACGGACATAGATACCAATAAGTTAATAATGTATATACATGTACATCACAAATTTTATTGTAAATGTTTTCATCTCGACTTTCTTTCTCTTTTTTTATTTTTTCATTTATTTTCTTGGGGCATGGAGGGGTAGGAATTTTCCTTCGATGTACTATTTTATTGTATTTCAGAAGATGAAATTGAAAAAGAAAACGATGAATATGCAGTTGTAGACAAATCAAATAAAAGTAAGCTATCTACATTTTGTTCAGGTTGAATTTAAATCAAATAAAAAACCAAGCTATAATAGCCAATGTTTCTTCCCCCTAATTTTGATCATGAATAATTTGTCGAACTAGTATGCTAATCATTATGATAAGTAATGGAACAGTTAGCTACGTAAGCTCAGAAATTGAAATATAAAGATAACTTATTGTGTAGTATTGGTGTGTAGATTTGTGAATGGTCACAATCGATAGTGTGGTCAATTGTCATCTTCTTACTTTTTTTAAATGCCAATAGAATAGAGAATGAAAACAGGGAATGTGTTAAAGAGACAAAACCCGACCAAAGAGCAGAAAACAGCCCAAGACTACCAATGGATCTTCAACGCAGCGAGAAAATCCCGCATCCGGAGGCGAGTTTCAGCTGGCCTCTAAACAATAATGCGTAATCGTTCAGCGAAATGGACGCTACACTAAACTCCGAAACATACAAATGAGCTGCAACGCCATGGCAAAAAAAAAGACCAAAAGACAGACAACAGTATAAAAACACAACATAGAAAAATAAAGTCTGAGCAACACGAACCTCATCAAAAACCGGAGGTGATCCAGACGGATAAGCAGGTCCTGCTCCATATTTGGTACCCGTCGTGACTGCGACAAAGTGTGTCTACTGAAAATATGTGCTTCTATCAGTTTTAAGAATGCTGGATCAACATTTGTATTCGTCAAAATTGAATCAAACCATCAACAACTTAAGATAACCTTTCTCAGTTAGGTTGCTTTCTCATTGTCATGCTACACATATTTTCTTTTAACCATGCACATATAATAAACATTTAATTTTTGTAATTATTTTTTAGAGATATATTACACAGAGAATGACAATGTATATCCAAATCAAGGCGATGCAGATTTGCTTATACATCAACCATTGAAAACAAAACCATCTGGACGGGTGTGTTAAACTTAATATATGTTTTTCTATGCAGTTTGTTTTTCTTGTGCACAAAAAAAACCCGTATATTACGTGTAGAAAATGATACTTGTAATATGGTTTATAACAACCATGTATGCTTCAATCCCTTCTAGTCATGTTGCAAAAATATTTTTTGGATTTTAATATGTTTTACAAGATTCATTCAATATACAACAGAAACTTTTAAAGCTTAAAATTTTAAGATTAAACTTTCAACAATTAAGTGTAGTTAAGTGTATAATAGATTTTCAGAAAACAATCCTTTAAAAATCAAGGGCAGATAATTATATTGAATTTGATAGGACAAATTGTGTTTTCTCTTTGAAGAAAAATAAGGCCCGTGACTCATTATTTTTATTAAATATTTCGGAAGTATTTAACCAATTCTATCGTTTAAAGTTTCCTCAGTAAAGAAAAAAGTAACTTTCTCATATACAACCCATATTAAATAACTGTGATTTCATTTATTTCAATGTATTTCAACTAAAAAAGAAGATCTGTGACCCCAAGTTTTTATATAGAATTTTGAAAGTACATTGAACCAGAAGTATTTTACTGAAGTTTGAGGAAAATCTATCGTCGAAAATTTAGACACCCTAGTTACCTTAATGACGTTTTGCATAGTATAGTATTTTCTTTTCCTATTAAAATCAGATATCATTTAAACTAAAAAAAGAAGGAAGTGTTATTTTAAGTACGCACTCATGAATTTGAAAATGAAGTAGAACATTTAACAATTTCTAAGTATCAAGGACCTAAACTATACATTAATCATATAGGAAATTTCAACTTTATTTTTAAGAGCAAAAATAAAGATGGTTTGACATACATAGAAGTATCCTTCACAAGGAAGCCAAAAGGTCGACGTCGTATCATTGGAGCTGAAAACAGGACTGACTATGTTGATATAGATTTCACAAGAAAAGCTGATCCATTACCAGAAAGTTCAGATGAATAACGTCTTTAAAACTGATTTTTTTAACTCAAGTTTTGTTTTGTTTTAAACATGTTTAAATATAGAAATATGTTTTAACAGTTTGAAGTGTATGACTTGTACATTCACAAAAAAATGTTAGACGATCTGGATGGGGTTAGCAGAAAAAAGAATAATGGGAAACTAACATATATAAAGTTGTGGAACGACTTGACAGCAAAAATAAAAGAATAGAGATGAATGTCCTAAAAACTAAAGAATAAATAAATGAATACATCCCCATCCAGACCCTTACGCTAAGTATTTCAAAAAGTAAGATCAATCTTACTCTAAATACCAGAAGTTCTTCTTTCAGATGAGAATATTGCTTGTCAATCAGAGAGAGAGAGAGAGAGAGAGAGTTTTATTTTGCATGATAGAGCTTTTTGATGTTTATCCTTTCATTTACATTTTTTATTGTAATTGTGGTTATCAATTATTTAAATGTGTTTACTTACTTTATTGTATATATAGCTTTCCGGCGCGGATTAATAATGGTTTATTACATTGTATCTTGCATAGATGTAGGACTTCGGCGAAAGGTAAAATCAAATGTCCAAATTCGATTCATGTCAAAATTCGAAATAAGTTAATGAACTAAAAATAATCTGAAACCCAATCAATAAAATTTGCTATCAGATCAATTAACAAACTATTCTAAAACAAAGACTGTTTATTATTTAAATTTAGTAAGAAAATGTGTTTCATTTCCGTTACAAGTCGATTACCCGGAACGAATCTAGACATACGTTATTTTTTACCAACCATCAAAAATAATTGCATATTATTTTAAAAATATTCTTAAAATCGTAAAAACAGAAGAGTTCTATAACAAAATACTGTTTATTAATTTACATCTATCAAAAGTTTTAACGAATATTTTCCATGATACATTTACATTCTAATCAGTTATTATCTAATTATAATTCCAATCTATGGTCATTTTTTGTATTCTGGTCTTTCATTTTTGCTTATGTGCTTTGTGTATATGCCTTTTTGTTTTTCTTTGTTGACATATTTGTTTGTTTTTATAGTGATTAAGATTATAACACAATTTTGACTGCTGTACCGTTATTTTTGACATTTTTACCTAGTATGTTTGTTTGTTTTTTTCACACATTGTTGTCAATATATAATGGAATTTTATGCGACTGTCATACAAGTGAGAGGTTTAGCTAGCTTTTTAAACCAGGTTTAATCCATCATTATCTACATGAGGAAATGCCTGTTTCAAGTCAGGAATATGACAGTTGTTTTCCATTAGTTTGATGTGTTTGAGCTTTTGATTTTGCCATTTGATAAGGGACTTCCCGTTTTGAATTTTGCTTGGAGTTCGGTATTTTACTTATTTTACTTCTTATATTACACCACTTTAATTCAAAAATGAAACGCCACTTGTTTTTCAATGTCCTTCATTGTAATTTAACATTTGTTTGCAGCAATTCAAATTAACATATAATTGTACATTACACTGATATTGTCATACACAACTGGCTGTTCAATCGTTTTGAATTTTCCTTGGAGTTCGGTATTTTTGTTATTTTACTTTTTACATACATCCGTGTAATTTGGTCTGTGGTGGATAATGTTCTTATTGACAATCACACTACATCTCTTTATCGTTATATACTCGTGCATGATCAAAACCCTCTAATGGTAATTATCTTAGTGAGCATGGCCAGTACTTTGATTGATTGATTGATTGATTGTTAATTACGTAACGTATGTCCAGTTGCAAATATTTCATGCATATTCATTTTAGATAGAGGCAGACATTTTGCCTTGTAACAAACCACCTACTGGCCCCTCAAACAGTCGTTACAAGGATTCTTAACATGCAAAGAGCATGAAACTCTCTACACGATGTATCGGTTTTAACGTCCCCATTTTGACCGGACGTCATATGCGAGTACTTTGAGCATAAACCATCTCTTTTCATTGGTCTCTGATAGCGTACAGCCTTAACTTACACACGTTGATCTTTGATAATTGTAAATTTCAAAGAAAATACTTTGAAACGTAGCATTATCGACATACATGTACATTTAATTTTCATTTTTTGCAGCGATTAATTCTTTTTCATAACGCGTTGATCGATTGTTTTCAGCTCTTCAGATCCTGGGAGAAACGCGTATAACCATGCTTAATGAGAATTTAAAAGCTTTGTAAACAAAGTCATTACTATACTGTATAAGTTTTGGGAAAATTACTTCAACCGATCTTGATAGGAATAACTTTTGGTATAACGTGTTTTCATTGATCATATTTGTAAATACAGTCTTCTTTTATTTCATTGTTCAGTGTATTTAAGGTCAAATATTTGTTAAACGATCCGTATTGTTACTATATATATAGCTAGTTGTAATACAGTTCATGTTGTCACGCGAAAGAAGGAAGTAGATTTTATTGAAAGAAAATGTCGATTTCCGGAAATAAGATGAAGATGAGAGATTAGTCAGTATGAAAGTACTAAGTATAATAAGTTGTCAACTTTCCGTTTGTTAAGTAGTTTTTTTCATCTTTGTTTCCTTTTCAACTTTAAATGCCACTATCATACAATCGCGGAATACAATATGATATAAAACGATTTCAATTTATAAAAGCTTGCTTTCATCAACATGGTACGCTATTGCACAAACGATATATATTTTAGAAAAAATTTAATACTCAATCTAGTAGATGAAATCAACACAAACATGTGTGAAAAATATATAATTTTTCAATCAAAATACATGAAGATGTTTCAGTTTTTGGTTATTTTGAAAGCATTTTAAGTTAGCAAATAAAAATAAAGAAGTTGCATGCTTGATCTGTTTGTACAGGTACTGCATTAATATGATATGATTAAGTTTTGATAACTTACTATTAAACAGCATTCAGAATTAATTCTGGAGATTCAACCGCTAGACACAACTGCACATTTATGTTACTGAGAATCATATCTTTTTGATATTGTGTATTAAAGAGCACATGGATATTGACTTGTTTGTTTGTTTGCTTTGTTTTTTTTTTATATTTGAGCAAAAAACTGGATTTGGTTTGACTCTGGTAGCACTAAAGAGATATTTATTTTTGACGTGCTCATCTGGTATAGTAACATTGCTACTGTTAATGTTATAACTTCCACTTGGTCAATACCTCTGCTGGTGAACAGTCAGTCCCCGATGATATCGCAAGCCAGTATTCAGTAATTTGGTACTGGCATGAAAATACGGATAACTACTTACAGGTGTTTATTAAGATAAATTAAACACACTATCCGTAATAAATAAACAACCTAAATAATGGAGAGAAACAAAACTTACAACTTTAAGTTAGTAGAAGTGAGACTCATAATATCATGGCAAAAAAGACAAACATTCTACTAAGACTACATTCAAACAAAACATTTGAGTTGGTATCAGGTGCTTTGGAAGGGTAATCAAACCTGATCCGCATGTAACACCCGTCGTATTGCTCATGGTGAATACAAATTCGGTGTTACGTCTAATTCGGCCATTATCTAACAACTGGGGAAAATTAAACAATTAGTTATCAGACACTGTATAAAAATAAGGAGATGTGGTATGATTGCCAATGAGAAACTATTCACCGAAGTTCAAATGAGGTGAATGTTAGCAAATTGTGTCAATTGTATAAAAAAGATTTTTTTATATTGTTAAAGACTGTATGTTGACCTCAAGATATCGTTTGGTTTGATTTGTGGTGCACGGCTGCTGTTTCATTTTTTTATACTTCACATCTGGTTTTATTAAAGCCATGAACAAAACGGACACTAATGTTTAAACACATATTGTTGAACTAGGCATGTAATCAGATTCTCTAAACACAGGAGCTTGGGAACATGATACGGATATTGAATGTATTTGTCATTTTTTTTTGCTTAAAATCACCACATATATATATCACTATAGCGCATGTCTCACCCAGTTTAAAGTGAATTCCCCTACTCTGATACAACCGCTAACGGCCTCAAAATCGACGATATCTCATAAAAAAAACTTGACCTAACTGAATTCCCAATCAAATTTTATGAACTGTTTTCGCAGTTCGATCGTTTATTGTCATCAAAATAGGTTCAGAAACATTACCAAAAGGAACAAATTGTGATTGCTTAAGAAACACTGTTCAAGAAAAAAAAAAGCAAATCAACAAAAAGAAGTTAGATATTGATATCACTGAGGAAAATATTGTTTTATAGATATTTACAAATGCTTGCACAATTAATAAACATAAAAGAAAAAGAAATCCAAGGACCATTTGATTGTAAAAGTGGCAGATATTGCACAGATATATTAATATTTTTGTTTTCCAAAATGTTAGAAATATCTATTTTTGCCCCGTCCCAAAGCATAAACACTGGAAACTTTAAATTTGCAAAACATTCATTTGCAAATCCGCCGCCGCCTCTCCTTAGAGCTACAGTGTCATGTATATAACCAAAATGTGTGGAATTACATGGGATTCAATAAATTCTTTGCTTTTTTGCTTTTATTATTATATATATTTGGCAATTTGATTTAGAAAACATGGGATTGACCATTATCCCTTAACCAAAACCCCATGGGATATTTTGGGGTCCCATTTGATATGTGTTGTCCCATGGGACAAAAAAAATCCCATGGGACTATAATTATCCCATGGGATGATTGATTACCTTTAAAGACATCAATGAAATTTAGTACAGTCTTTGTTTGTGTTTTAGTTATCAATCTTCTTGTATTGTTTCTGTGGCTGATGATAAAAAGTTGAATATCTATTTTTTTCTTGGATATGTTAATGCAATATATTGTTCTATAACTGTTCAAAACTAAACATTTAAACAACAAAGCAGATAATGTAAGTATCAGTATATGTTTATTTATGAATTCTTGAATACTTTTTTGAAACACAATTACACAAACATTTAAAATCAATAAAAACATCTATAAATATGATGAACGGTCTTAAATTCTATTATTAGGCTTAACATAGCTATTTAAATAAATCTATTTTTTTCAGGATATCCGTCCCCCCAAAAAAATTATAGTTTCTTGTAGACATATACTAAAGATTTATAAAGGTCTTTTATTAACAATAAATAATCAATATGTACAAAACATAACAAATTTTAATACTGTAATTGTGAATACTTTTTCAAAATGAAGCAAAATCCTTATTGTTGTCTACGTCACAGTTCACATATCAATATATGTTTATTCATCAAAGTCATTAGTACATTATTTTATCAAAAATACCATAAATAAATATTTGTTACTTCATATTGATTTTTCGAAAATTTATTCAAGGTTACCAATCAAACAGAAGTAATTGCTAATCTTTAAATAAACCCATTTTGTGGATTCTTGCACTTTTGTGTTTGTATAATACCATAATTCGATTTAAAGGGCTTGACCGTTAAATCGCTTCATCAGAGGAGGGCAAGACTTGCGACAGTTCATGCACAGGTCAATGTTA